CAGCACTTTGTTTATACAAAGTCTATGAGAAGAGGTCAGTAGAGATCATCTAATCTTAAGTCGTGACATCATCCATTCAAGTCCTTGGCATAATCTATAAAGAAACCAAAATCATTTGATTAAATTCTGAACTAAAACTATGGACTACAAACTAAAAGATGATATTTTTCATTTACTTGAACAACAGAGTTTTAAAAATCAACAGTATTCGATGCAGGTGCTGTTGCAGTGAAACCATTCTCTCATATACACAGTACATCCATGCTTTTGGTTTAATTATATCTCTAGTATCTAGAACACTCTGGCTGACATAAAACTGAGCTTACTAATTACACAATGAATACCAACAGAACATAATCTGGCAATAGATAACAAAAATATTAAAAAATTAGAAAAATTTTTCTAATTCTAGAAATGTATCCTAAAAAAAAAATCAAGGGATTATTTATAAATTTACACATAAGACTGTTCATTAAAGCCTTTTTTTGCAGTGCTGGGAATTGAACTCAGGCTCTCATAAAGCCTAGGTAAGCATTCTACCATGGAACTATACCCTCAGMGCTTCATTAAGCATTCTTAACAGGAAAAAAAGAACGAACATTAAAATTGTCCTTTCAAAAAATTTTGATACCAAAAATGCTTATGAGATACATGAAACAAGTGGCAGGATATTAAATTAACTATATAGCAGAGTTGTTAACACAAAGTAAACATGTATGTATATTACATTTATATATAAAAATCTGTGGGCAGTAAAATTTTATATCATAACACCAATTAGATTGCTGAACAATGGGTAACTGGATTAATCCAAAACACAGGGATGTTCATTGTGATAAGAGAAATTAAATGTTTAGCAAGAAGAAAATGGTTTCAAGTGCTATTACAACAAAATGAAGGTACAATATTAAAGTTTTTTTAAAACTCAGATTTTTGTATCAAGTACAAGTCTAATATTATAAAAGAAGATAAAAATAAATGGCAATGAAGTAAACAAATAGTTGTGGCCTATATTTTTCTCCTTTAACTAAATTCTACCTATAAACTACTGACAGGAAATACGGCACAATAATAAAAGCAACAAATGAACAGTACTTAACTAATAGCAAATTAGTATTACTGTTCTAAGGACTTAACACCCACTATTTTATTTATTTATTTTTATGTGGTGCTGAGGATGGAACCCAGTGCCTCATACATGTGAGGCAAGTGCTCTACCACTGAGCTACAACCCAGCCCCAACATCTACTATTTTAATTAATCTTCACTACAGTGAGGTCAGAAGCCATCCCATGATTTTGTTTTTTCCATTTATTTGTTTGCTTTGGTACTGGTGATTTTGGGCCCCTGGCATTTTACCAATGAGCTATACTCTCAACCCTTTTAATTTTTTAAAATCTTAAGTCAGAGTCTTTCCAAGTTGCTTAGCCTAGTCTCATAGTTGAGATCTTCTGATCTTCCTGCCTTAACCTCTTGAGTATCTGGAATTACAGGTGTACACTACTATATCTGGGAATTTTTTTCCATGTTACAGAGAAAATCCAGTTTTAGCAAGGTTAGCAAATAGCAAAAATAGGTATAAAAATTAGGACAAGCTCCAAAGTTTGTGATCTCAAATTCACTGAATCAAAATGCTGAACAAAACTAAAATCAAGAATTTGGACCAAAGTATCAAGAATTAAGAAGGGAACAGAACCTTTTCCCCCAAACTAAACATTTCTCCGGGCTAACTGCTACAAATAGAAACCCACCTGAAACAAAGTTTGAAAATACACCTTCATCTATTGTTTTATTCTTTTTAAAATGTAGTTGACTTCATATGTAATCTGTATATATTTTCTAATTAATTATCAAAGAATACAAATTAAATCTTATGTAAATCCTAGATGACTATATTTACTGTTAAATTTAATATTATAATCAAGTGTTTTTGCTTTGAAATATATATATCAACATGTACTCAACTTATTTTTATGTGGTGCTGAAGATGGAACCCAGTGCCTCATTCTCTTTCCATATTTATATTAAACTATTTGACAAATACATAACTTTTTTTACTTAAATACATGGGTAACTGGTATTGTCTGAGATTTTAAAAAAATGAATAGATTTGCTTTTTTAAAGTTAAAATTAGTTCTTCTGAATGTCTCTAATAATATCTTCTATTTCAATAAGATATGGCTTCAGAAACTCAATTTAATAGTTCACTGTTCGTCAATCTTGAAAGGAAAAGCATTTCTCTTGCCTTACCTATTTCATTCATCTATACCTCAAGCTTCTGCTCTTTCTGAATACCTCAAGAACCTCAACCAAAAATTTAAGACCTTTTTTTAGAATCCTTCTTCTGTCATTTAACTCTTTATTCTGTGTGCATGCACAAACATATAACAGAGATTTACCATATCTTTGAAAAAAGAAAAACAAAACCAAACTTTAGCTTGCCCCTTCTTTTAACCATTTTTCTTCCCTTTTTTCCCCCCTAATACTGAGGACTGAGCCCAGGTGCTCTACCATTGAGCCCTTTGTGACTGGCCTCAAATTTGCAAAGCGCCTGCCTTAGCCTCCTGAGTAGCTGGGRTTATAGGCATGTTCCACTGAGCCTGGCTCTTCTTTTTAGCTTTTTATTCTATTTCCAACCTCCTCTATATCATCCCTCCTTCCAAGAGTTTACAGTTGGTATTCTAAAATCCAATTCTTCTCTGAACTACTCTTATCCTCTGCCCACTTTCCAATACAGAGAATTTGCTCTAACTGAATTTACTTATTCACAGTTAAAGTTAATACATTCTCTCTATCCTCCTTGTTGATGACCTTGTATTTGACAAAGTTGACTAATACCTCCTTCTGGAAATACTTTAATCTCTGGGCATTAGACCTAGGCAAAATCCTACTGTTAGGCATCAACCTTCACTTCAACTCTTCTCACTCCAAAACCAAGGACCCTCATGCCATTGCTATCTTCATGGGCCATACTATCTTCTAACTTTGTTTTGAAAACGTAAAATTTTTCTCTTGACAACGCTGGTGGCAATGCAAATATCCCTAAACTAGTCTCATACATGGGTCCTCTTCTATTTCAGATTCTTTATTCATAAAATGAGTTAACATAGTCTATAGGGCTGCCCTGAGGATTAAATAAGGCACCATATGGAAAGCACCTGAGATGGAATATACTCAGCATTAGTTCTTGCAGTCCATCATTATCATAAGAAGCATTTCCTGACGTCTCCAGCTCTTGATGACACACTCATTTCTCTGAGTTTCTACAGCAACTGCATCATCTATATGCTCAGTTGATTTATGTATATTATGTTTATATTGTATGTTTTAGAATTTACAAAAACATCCTAAAAAGTCTAACTGTAGACATCAACCATTTCTTAAATCTTTTCCTTAAATATTTATTAGGTTTAAGAAGACATAAACATTTCCATGCTAAATACATGTTACCTAAATACATGTTCTTACCCCTCGCCAGTAAGAGCACAGCATGCCTGGATATGCCACTGATGATCTTTAATAGAAGTTAGCTTCAAAAACTGGGAGATTTCTGCTACACTCATGCATTCTTTAACGTCTTGTTTATTAGCAAAAATCAGTAATCCAGCTTTTCTTAGGTCCTATAAAAGCAAACAAAACTTGAAAGACAAGCTTATTTTTCTACATATTTTCCAACTTAACAGATTGATTTTCATCTTATTAACCTAGAATTTCTTAATGATTCTTCACAAAAGTATCTTGTAGCTCACAGGCTGATAGAAGCAAACTTAACACCAAACACATTTTGAAAAAATAAATATATACTAGTATGGATTTACATATTTCTTACAGCCTTAAACTATATTTTTATGATTCTAAGTACTGTATTTAACAATTATCTTTTCAAATATAAAATATACCCACCACCCAATGACATGACTAGGCTTATATGGCTACTAAGAGCTACCCTTTATCCTGGTACTTAAGAGTTCTCCAAAACCCTACCCTACTTGTACCTTTCTACCTTATCTAGATATTCTGCCTTACCAATCATCACTCACTATATAAAACACTCTAATTAGCAATCTATCTACTGCTCTCTGAACAGTTCTACACAGTCCCAATTCCAAATCATGTTATTCACACCTCTGAGACGATGTTGCTCTCACTTTACCTGCATATATTACCTTCTAAACCAGCCTTTCACAACCACGGTTCCATATGAGAACTAAACTGTAGAAAATGATGTGGGTGATTACACTGCAAGTTTCCCAACAATGCACATAGCTAATACCTTCTAGATGCATAGGAAATAAAGGAATTCATTACATAAAATGCATGCCTTAAGGCCTTAGGGCTTAATTCTCAGTTGAGAAGCACTATTCTAAATCAATCCTATCCATACTGAGACCTAACTCCTGTTTGTCCAGGAAGATTTCTTAGATATAAATATATGATAAAGTCATCTTATTAGCATTAAATTTATCAAATTTACTCGATTAGTAAGTTATACCACTTCTATGCTATGATTCTGAGCAAGTTCTTTTAAAAATTTCTGCATTTGTTCCTTACAATTAACATTTATTGTGTATCTCATCTGAGAAAGACACCATACTATCCTTTTCTAAACATAATAATTGTGCATACTCCAAAATGGTTAAGTTTTACTCACAAAACAGGCCCAAGGTTCTTAGTATCTTTCTGGCCACACTTCTTCCCAACCCCAGACTATTTTAAAGMCAGAGACTTACTGGATAATCTAGTCAAAGTTACAGATCTTTTCCTCACAAAAATGCACATATGTATATATGCCAAAAATGTTTTTAAGTTTACATGTAATTTTAGTGTTTTAAAAGATACCCTAACTCCCATTTAGGCCAAGAATTCCTGAAGGATGCAATTCAACTAGTGAATTAAACTCCCATAAAATTCTGCCTATATATATGAAGAGAYACTAACAAAACTAAGGTTATGCTTGCAAGTTTTCTAAATTGTGTTGAATGCTGTCATTCTTCTGAGGGATTTAAAAAGGATAGTTTGGTTTTAATAACATGTACATATATTTAAAGCAATATTCTTCTATAAGCACAAGCTGATGTTAGAATATAGTTTTGATGACTCATTTGATTGTTATATATAAAAAATGTAAGTGGTAAATTTTTATGTGATTAAAAAGAATTATGCAAAATATTTTATATAATAATCAAGATTGATTTTTAGTTAGAGTGCCCTCTGCAGGGTGGCAACTATTAATGCTACTATAGCTAGTGATGTAGCTGCCTGAATACCATGTTCAAAAAGAGATACTGTTAGAATGTGAACAGTTTTAAAATTTCATGTTCAACTAGTCTCACCTATAGTTCAATTCACATGTTATATAAAAGGCAAAAATATTGAAGGGAAATACTATAASTTAAGTATATATAGTCATCATAAAGGACATAATATTTTTCTCAAGTAGAAAATGGAACCATTATCAATAGTTGATAATGTGGCTGAATAACTAAGTAGATGGACTTTCCATGAGATTTAATTCCTATCTTCCTATCTTCTAGGTTTCAATATCTCTTGCAAGTGTGTGTTGAAGTCTTTTATATAGGTCAGGTTTGCTACTGCTGGTATGCTCAAAGGAAAAAAAAAAAAAACTTCTGTCAAATAACTGGCATAAATACATAATTAAATTTTATTTGTAAGTAATCTGTGCTCATCACTTAGTGCTGAAATTTACAGAAGCCCTTGAACTGGAAATATAAAAACACAAGAAATAAAGTCATTTATCAAGTCTTCAAACAAAACAAAAAAATGAATATAATTCTTTCTAGATCACAAAAGCCCAAACTTTATCTAGAGTTCTTGATTAAACAAAGTTATTTTACTTATTTTTTAAATATTTAGGGAGAAAAATCTTCCATTGCTTTTTATAAGATAACCTTAAGGCTTGACTTATTATTAGCCTGACTTAACAAAAGGTCAAAGCATAAGGTGGACAATGGTGATCTTACRTACATATGCCATTTTAAAAACTTTAAGCTAAATATTGCAGATTATCTGATCTTAAGAGTCTAAAATGTATTTTAGTTAAGAAGACAAATAACAGCAGTGGAAGAGACATTTACTTAGCATTTTCTATATGTCATACATGGGTGTCCATTTGTTTCTCAAAGCTTCATTTGTGAAGAAAATTCCTAGAAGTTGAGTCATTCTAAAGAATATTCAGACTTTGGTGCTTGAAACTATTTTAAAATTAGTGTCAAAGTTTTATATTTTATTTAAGAAAAATCTTTCAGAAAGTATTTTAAATTTTTTATAGTTTTATATTTTGGAATACATGTGAAGAATCATTATCAATGATGATAATAAGATATTGTTGGTTAATATAATACTATGAAATGTACAACTAACCTCATGTCTAAATTTATTTTTCATTKACATGTTCTCATTCTCTGATCCATTTGTCCCTATTTGGAACTCTGCCTGTTGGGCTCTATTTGACCCCACTGAGCAGTTATGCTAGCTCTCAACTTCATCTGCAATTCCTTTCTTCCATAATCTTCTATTCAGACTCTTTTCACTTTCCAATTAGGCCTTACTTATGTCTCCCCCGGCCCATCCAGAACAAAGAGGCTGAGCAAGAATGCCTAAATTCAAATCCTCTTAAAAAGCTTAATTAGTCATATAACTTTGTAGGTCTCAAGAGTACACTCACCTGTAACAGAAGAGGTTAAGTGATCTGTCCAAGTTAATGCCCCAGCTAATAAAATTCAAAAACTTTACTGGAACCCTACTAATGGGCTCTTCAAATACTGATCCTGCTACATATTGGACAATTAGAACAAATATCAAATAGGAATACTACCTATTAACAAATAAAAAACAGCCCAGAGACAACATGTGATATCTATTTTTCTTTCCAAAGTCTTCACAAAACAACCCTTCAAACAAACTGAAGAATGCTGGTAAATTTTTTAAAATACAAAGTTGGAAAGAAAAAGAAAATCTTTTTTTTCTGCCTCTTTTATGGCTTACTGCATATAACCCAAACTAAAACAGCTTTTTGTAAATGAATGTACAATGGCAAAATTTACATCTTAAAAACCCCAGGAGGTTTAACATGGCTGTCAGAAAATAGACTCAACTAGGCAAAGGTGCAATTTGGTGGGTATGACCACCATAAGAAATGAAGAATCTCAATTACAAAACCACTTCACTGGGTTTCCTTAAGTCTTGAAAGGCTGCCTGAAACATACCAAAATTCTTAAACTTTAAAAACAAAAAATTACTCAAATCAATAGTAAATTGATATATACCTTTATTATAAAGATATTTAAAATTTTCTTTATAAAAATTTTACTGAAATTAAAAAGTATTCTCTATACATCCAAATATTAACTTTTCTATTCCAACTTATAAATATGAGAAAGTGGCATTTGTTATGAAAGACATTCAAAAGAACAATTGCTATTACAGTAAATATTATGATTTTATATTTCTATTTTATTACTAAGTTGACTGAATTATTCAGTTTATTTGTTTTGCAGGTAAGTTGTCTACCTCTGAGCTACATCACCAAYAGTAGCTTATTTAATTTTTAACTTATATTATTAGTAATATTTTTCAAAGAATAACAGAATGTAGCTAGTCATATAATTTTGTTTGCTAAAAAAAAAAAAAAACAAAACAAAACCAGTATCAGAGAAGCCTAAGAGAAACAACTACTACACGATTTTACTTCATTCTGTTTTGTTTCATTCCATTTATTTTTAGTACTGGGAATTAAACCCACAGGCATTCTACCACTGGGCTACATCCCCAGCCCTTTTTATTTTATTTATTTTGAGACAGGATCTTATTAAGTTGCCTACGGTGGTCTCAAATTTGAGATACTCCTGCCTCAGTCTCTCAAGTTGCTGGGATTACAGGCCTCTGCTACCATRTCTGGCAACAAGCAAGACATTTAAATATCTGTCCGATAAATGAGAAACATTTTAAGAATTGCAGCTGGGCACAATGATACACACSTGTAATCCCAGCGGCTTAAGAGGCTGAGGCAGGAGGATCACAAGTTCAAAGCTAGCCTTAGCAAGATCCTGTCTTTAAATAAAATATAAAAAGACTGGGGATGTGGTTAAGCACCCCTGGGGGTTCAATCCCTAAATTGCTGTGTACTCAGGTACTTTCAAATCTTTATTTCCAATGATAATACTCTGCATGATAAATTTATTTAAAATGTAAAAWAAAAAGTAATTTTAGGAATTATTCTTATTAGTAAAACTTCTACTCCACATTCATCTATGATAAATGAAATAACATTCTACTGTTAATTCCAGAAACTTTCTGCTGTTTCCAGATAATCTGCAAATTTTAGAAGTATCAAAATCATAAAATAGGCATGCCCATCAGGAATAGCCAGCAGACAATTTTTCAAACAATTTAAAATGGCATCTTCAAGAGAAACTAAAAAGAAATGTAATACAAATACTTCCTCTGCCCCCACCCAGCATTTTATGTAAAAAGATAACTTACCTCATGTGCTAACATTTTGTAGAGTTCTTCTCTAGTTACAGAAATCCTCTCTCTGTCTGTACTGTCCACAACTACTATTACAAACTAAAATAATTACCAAAAAAGTCATTAGTGAATATATAATTTGATATGTGAAAATTAATAGTGCTTATTTGACTCACGGACTATTAATATCTTGATATTAGAAGCTTATGGTATTGTTGGAAAACCAGAGATATCTAATACATATTGTAAAGTCTAAAAGTCTAATCCATTTCTAATTCAAATATATTTACTAATTTTTAAAAAGATAACAAGAGAAGAAAGAATACAATGCTAACATTCTAACCAATATACAACATACTTGCTTTCTAAATTAGTATCTTAAATGCTAATGGGCCTAAGTCCATCTTTATGCCCTATAACTTAATAAGAAAAAAACCACATTATGCCCCTAATTTGAAGATACTTCCAAATATTAATATCCATTTGAAAATTTAAAAGGACATGTGCATGGGAGTAATGTCACAGTTAAGAAAACAATTTTTTAAAAATTAACAAATTGAAAGAACAAATCTGTACCTAAAAACAAGCTCTCTTCCTTATATAAACAGCACTTGCTACCTGAAAAGTAGAACTTTTTCCTGAACTACTGATGTAACTAATATCAGAAGATGCAATAAAAGACTTAAGGCTCCGAGTGGGATAACCTCTATTAAACCTCTTCCCAACTCCATGAGCATCAAAAAGCAACAGGAAACAGAAGTAAATACATAATTAACTAATTTATGATGGTATTTATGATGCCCAAATTAATTCTGACTGCCTATGATTAAAAAGCACTATTTATTTTTTAGAACTAGATATGAATTTCCATTTTAMGTCTCTTCTATTTTTCAGTTTTCATCAACTATAAGAGATGAATAAGAGAATTACTTTTATCTCTTCTTTCACTTGATTGTTTACTGATAAATTACTTTCATTACTGTAAGATCCATTCTTTTTTTAAAAAAAAAGTTGCTAATTTTCAAAGTGTTGGCATAATTTAATACCTATAGCATTATAACAGTGGTACCCATGATACTGGGGATTGAACCCAGGACCTCACACATGCTAGGCAAGTAGCTGGTTGCTTGTGCCAGCCCATATTTACCTTTATAATCATACATATCATTCCTTCTCCAAAAGTATATAGTTAAACGCTTAATGGAATGTTTGGGGTCAGACTATTAGAGATACTTAATAGTGTCTTATTGACTTAAAATATATATTTAGAGTATATTTTATTAACTTATAATCAACACTACAAAAACAATTAGCACAGTCTTTCAATTTACAGGGCTGTACAATGAATACAAATGTCACAGGTCTAAAATTTTCTTGTAGGAAGTAATGTGTAAATAAAAACATATGATTTTATGTCTAAAGTACTTCATAATCAAAAGAAAAAGATTTCCTTAATGTAAAATTGTGTTGCACAAAAGAAAATGCACAGTAAATAACATTTATTGATTTCC